TTTTAAAAGTGGCTCCGGGATTCTAACATGCAGCCAGGGTTGGGAACCACAGTTAGCGCAAGAACAGGAAGATTTAGACACCTGGAAATTAGAGGTGAAGATTAACCAAAGTAACCTGTGTTTATTTTACACCCAGTCACTCATTTTGGGCTTCCTTTCTTGTAGTGGGAGCGAGTAGGTCAAGTGGTATGACACTGTGGATGTGTTGGAAGGTTCAAGGAAGCGAGAAATAAGATGACTCTTGCCTTCAGTTGTTGACTGCCACATACCAGGCACTGTACTTACAGCACTGTACACACAGCATCTTTAATCCTCACAGGAACTCAGCCAAACCTGCAGTACTGCACGAGGAGCCAGAGCTCTAGGTGTTAGAGGTCTTGGCCGTTAGGAAGGTGTCCCAGGAAGGATGTGCGGTGTGAGGCAGTCAGCAGAGACCTTGAAACTTGGAGGAAGGTAGCAAGCAATGGCTGGAGAACAAGGTCTGTGCCACGTGCTCAAGTCTGAGAAAGGAAGGGAGGACCTCAGAGGTGAGTGTGGAGAGTGATTCCAGCGGACAGTGTGGGCTTCAAGGACTGGGTGGAGTGTGTAGTGAGGAGTAGGAGACAGGAAGAGCTGGGGGTGGGAAGCAAGGAGTGAGCGCCTCCATTTCTGTCTGGAAATCTCTGAAAGAGTGTGGGTTTCAAGAAAGTTGGTTTTCAGTTTCGTTCAGTCCCAGGACTCTTAAGTTCCCTAGCTCCCCCGAAATGGGGAATGAGCCTCTAGATCTAGAGAAGGTCCAGCAAGTAGGTACTTGGTGATTTTTAAAGATAGACATAATGGTAATTAAAAGAAAACATAACCCATGCCCTACCCACATTATTCTGTCAAACAAGGCTGCCTGTTAAAAAGTTAATTTATTTTGTCAGGGGGAAGGTATAGCTCAATGGTAGGGCGTGTGTGTAGCATGCATGAGGTCCTGGGCTCAATCCCCGGTACCTCCATTAAAAATAAATAAAAATAAATGAATAAAAACCTAACTACCCCCCCAAAGTTATAATTTTGTGACCTATAACTATAAAATGTTAGTTATTAGTAGTGACTGAACTGATGCTTTAAAAAGTTTCATCTTATGTACCAGGTCCATATTCTGGTATTTTCTGCCTGTCACTGGTGCTTATCAAAGTAACTACCATTGATGGGCTTTTATTTTTTCCTCTGCTAGTAACATTCTTTCCCCCTCTTCTCTCCCCGTTATGTAATTGATAGGAATTCTGTGTAATTTTTAGTTTTTCTCCTTACATGCTACAAGAAGCCGGGTTCTTTACTTTCTTACATCCTTACAGTTTGTTCAAATTTTAATAATTTTTTTCTCTCATGTTTATTATGTCTAGGACAATTGCTGATAGGAATGTAGTTCACAGTTACTCAGGTGACTCAAGTTTTTAAAAGCATCGTGTATCAGTTAAACTTTTTAAAATGCAGCGTAGTGGCAGTTTTTTCTTTTTTAATTGTTATTTCCCATTATACTAAATGATGAGGAATTTCTTAAAGTAGAAGTCATTTCAGTAATAATTGTAGCACCCTACCAAATTAATTTGATGGTTTCTTTATTACATTTACATTTATACAGAAGGTTAAAAAGTGATTGGGTACTTGGAATCTAAAAGTTTTAAGTGTATTTTGGTAACACTGTTTTTTGGATTTCAGTGGCACCAGGATGGGAACCACCTGTTCAGGGTGTTACTGAAATCTGTTTCTTACGTTTTTAGAGGCTTCGTGACGGAGTGATCAGAGACATTGAAAGGCAAAATCGGAAAAAAGAAAACATTCGTCTTTTGGGAGAACAGATTATTCTGACTGAGCAACTTGAAGCAGAAAGAGAGAAGGTGGTGTTGGCAAAAGGATCTCAAAAAACATGACTTGAAATGAATGTGAAATATCGATGGAACAGACAGCGTTGAGTGTGTGTGTGTGAGTGAGTGTTGGTGAACAGCTTAGTGAAATCTTCAGCTTTTTTTTGGTCACTATCCTTTTAGACTTGATCAAAAAAAGGACAGTGGATCATATATTCTAAACAGTTGTTTTAAGAGCCCCTGAGTAAAGATGGGCACATGCTCTTCTGAAGCAGTTGTAGGATCCTGCTAGGAGCCCTTCAAGCTCAGTGTCCAGAGCTGAGGATTGTCCCCGAGGAGCACTCTGGACCTGCAGAAGGAGGGATGGAGAGTAACATCCACCTGAGCAGCTTGATCAGCCGGCACGATGACGAAGCCACGAGAACGTCGACCTCGGAAGGGCTGGAGGAGGGCGAGGTGGAGGGGGAGACGCTCCTGATTGTTGAATCGGAGGACCAAGCGTCCGTGGACTTGTCCCATGACCAGAGCGGGGATTCGCTCAACAGTGACGAGGGAGATGTGTCGTGGATGGAGGAGCAGCTGTCCTACTTCTGTGACAAGTGTCAGAAGTGGATCCCGGCCAGTAAGGAGCTTCTCAATTCCTTTGCTTTGTCAGTTCCTATGTGTAGGTTTGTTTTTGCAACCTGTGAAAGAAACACGAATGTAAAATAGACCTAAATAAAAAGATAACTGTTACATCTATTGTTAGTTTAGTTGATTAACTGCAAAATTATATAAAACATAGACACATTTGTACTGCTAAATATTACTGCCAACCTCCATTACCTTGTTAAATTAACAGTCTTGATTGTAACCCAATAAAAGTTAGAAAATTGGAAATCCTGTGTTACTTAAAGAATTAGCCACATTATTCTATCACGATAACGTTATTGTGGATTTGGGGCCAAATTCTAGGCCCAGCATAGAACTGAAGGTTAGGCTCATAAAAATGACCCTGGTGATATTTAACTCACATGGAAAATGACTGCATGGTATGCTGATGTAAGGTCGGAGTTAGCAGGTGACAGTGCTTTGTGCCCTAGGCCCCTTCCTGTTCGCTGCTTGCTGCCTCCTTCATCTGCAGGCAGTAGTTACACACACGCGCGCTCTCCTGACAGCGCAGTTCTTCAGCTCAGTCTCTTCTGCTGTCAGCTTCCAGCTCTCAGGGCACCAGGACTCTTACCCAACAGGATTTTTCCATTAAGCAGAGACTAGTAAAGACATATGTACTAGAGGAATATTTTGTGTAATAGAATTTGTAACTAGGTCAGAGAAATTTACGTATGTGTACATATGTATATATTACTGTGAAGTGGGTCGTTTTCGGGTATGTAAGGATGTTTTTAAGATGGATTCAACTCTTCAGATTAACAGTTACTTTAATAAATGAATACCAATCACTTCTCAGCTAAGATCAAATGTAGTATCTATTCTTACCAGTTTAATACATTAATACTATTTTCACAGAAAACAAACCTAAAATTTATTGCATGTTAGCTAATTTTTGCTTCCGAGCTGTCTCTGCTTATAAATTCAGGGTTCTGCCTTAAAGTCTCAGTGGCTTCCCCACTGCTCACAGCATACGTTTCACAGCACACTTCCTGAGGGCCCTGCTGCCTCTCCAGCCTCTCTCCTTAGTGTCCTCCTGTCCCCACACATAGACACAACGTGGCTGCAGCACAGGTGAACTTACAATTCTCCACAAGCACTTCTCGTCCCTAGGACCGTGCATTTAAATGTCCTCTGGCCTCCACACTCCCCAGCCCCATCACAACACACAAGCACCTCTTTTCACCTGGCCATTCTAGCCATCCTTCCTGCCCCGTCACCCCACTTTCTCTAGCTCTGCTGTCTCCCTGCCGTGGTAGGCACCTCTGTGTGCCCTCACGTTGCCCTGCGGCGCCCATCACGTTCCACTCCAGTGGTTTTCACGTCTCCCAGAGCATCAGCATCACTCGGGAAATGTCCAAAATGCCCTGCTTCTAGAGGTTGGTTTATTTCACGTGGGCTCAGCTCAGCCATATTTAAAGCAAAAAACAACCCCCCACGGTGAGGAAGCGAACCCCTGTGCTGCTGGGACTACCTTCTTGCTCCTGTGCAGCCCACACAGCATTTGTGAGCCTCTGGGAAGTGGCACCGTGTCGTCTTGGGTGTTGTGTTTCCGGTTCCCAGTGCCTGGCTCAGTGGGAGCTCAGAGATGTTTTGGAAGAATGTGGGAAGAGACCTGTAGGAGTCAGGGAAGTTAACAGTTGGGTAGCCAGTGAGAGCAATCCTACCTGCTTTTCCAGTGTCTCCCGAAAGTTAGGGAACAACAGATCTCAGCTGGCATGCACTTGATGTTGGAAGAATACAAATCTTCTGTACTGCCTTCCCCACCCCATCCTGCCGTCTTGGGTTGGCTGAAAAAAAAAGGAAAACAGCCTGGGAAACTTGGAATATGATGGGTAAATTGAACCTTTGGGTTACCTCTGCTCTGGACAGACTTGTAACGTGCCTTTTTGTTTTTCTCCTAGGTCAGCTGAGGGAACAGCTCAGTTACCTTAAGGGTGATAATTTTTTTAGGTTTACTTGTTCCGATTGCTCAGACGACGGCAAGGAGCAGTACGAGAGACTGAAGCTGACTTGGCAGCAAGTGAGTAGAAAGCCCTCCCCTGCACTTCGTGAGGCTGGTCCCCCGGGAATGTATTGGGGTGAGTGTCTAGAGAATGAGGAACTAAACGTAGGAGCTTTGGAGTTGTTTTGAGGGTCACTTCATTTCACAGTGAAAATCATACACGAATATGTGGAGAAAGGAGTTGTGGGTAAAAGTACCCATCACTGCTAACTTAGTGATTTTTGAGAATCTAGCCTACACGGTTTCATTTATGTGTAATACCAAACTCTGATTTTAATTGAAGAGGTTCACATTTTTTCTTATAGCTATTTTTAGAAAACTAAAACCATTTTTTAAAATGTAAAGATGTTGAATCACTGTGCTGTACACCTGACAGTAACACAATATTGTCAAGCAACAGTGCTTCAATTTAAAAAAAAAGGAAAGAAAAGATGGCCACCCTGATCTCAACCAGCTGCGGCCTGAACAGCATCTTTTAACTGATTGTTGTCTTCATTTTTTTGGTTTGTTTTTACAGTGATATGTTATAACAAGGCACCAAATATACATGCAGTCTTTGAGTTCTAAGAATGTATGAATTAGACATTGCTCATTTGGTTTTTATATTTATTCTACAAAAATTGAGTGCATGTGATGAACCAGGCACTATTCCAGGCCTGGAAAGTAGAATCTGTTCAAGACCAGCTGATTCTCTTTCAGCTCGCTCTTCTTCAGGGGGAGCAGGACAGCCCAGCCCCCTGCCCCTGGCAGCTGACATTCTAGACATTTATTTCAGACAGTAAACAGACAAATGAACAAGTTAATTGCCTCCAGCACTTCTTGCTATGAAGGAAATAAACAGGATAATGAGTAAGAGATTTTAGATTATACCCTCTAAGCCACTTAAGGTGTTAAATTGTAGCTGTGTGAGCAGCCTTGGACTGTTACCTTAATCATCAGTGCTTTATTAGGGCATCTCCTAATGAAATCTGTCAGTGGTGAGTCGGGGAGCCTCTTTGGACTTGCCTGAAAATATGTAAGTAGAAAAAAAGGGGGAAAAAAAGAAAATGCAGGGAAGTTTGTGTTGAGCATACAGTCTCATGAACATTATAATTGGGATTTTTTTTTCAAAGTGTCCGTGGGATACTGTGTCTCGGCAAGGTCAGACTGACGTCCACAGATGATTCTGACAGGTGCAGCAAGGCAGATTCGCTTTTGCTTTTGGCCTGCAAGAAGTTTCTCATAAAGCTGTAAAATGGAAGAAGAGCAACTGTGTGTAACAGGGGTCTCTGCAGAGGTTCTTTTTCAAGGAAAAACTGGCTTTTGATTATATTGCTAAGACTGTGCCCTGCTGGCTCAGTTTGCACATTTAATCGGCCAGCATCACTCGATTATTTTTTTTTTTTTTACTTCCAAGAGACACACAGGTGGTGGGTAGCAAGTTCCCTGGGATGGTGACCTGTAAACTGGGGCTAGACATGTCTGGTCCGGGGAGGAGTGCTGACCGCGCTTTCTGGTCACATCCATTTCCCCTTCCAGCCTGTGTCTCGTGCAGGAGCTGGAAGTGGATCAGTTGGTCTTGAGTAGATTCTGTTGACGTCACATTCTAATTGGAATGTGGGTTTTCTATCATTTTAAATCTTAAACTTTGTTGATTTATCAAAGTAATAAGTAGGAATGCTCTTTTATGTTACAGAATACCAGCAGGAGAGAGGTGTGGTCTCCTGACTAAGAGACCCCTTTCTTCTCCGCCCTCCCTGTGTCTTCTCCTCCTCCTTGGTGACTCAGGAACATCAGTTTGAAACGTAGGGGACACTGTCGAGTGTTTGGGAAGGCTAGGGTAGTCTGTACACTCTTGTCCTGGGCTCTCACTACTTTTCCGGGTTGTCCTCAGCGGGTACTTGGGAGGTGCCCACTGGGCAGTGCCGCCCTGAGCGGGGGCTTGGGGAGGCGCCGGTCCACGAGGCCGGCCGGTTACTGTGACCTTGGGCTGGCGGTGTGACAGCAGAAGACTAAACTGGGATTCATTCTTTAAGATTACAGGTTCCGGGAGAGGGGAAAACCATGTCCTTCCTGTACTGGGCTTGTAGTTTTCCCAGTCAATTGGGTGATAATATGAGAAGTTATTTTCAAGTAAATATGTGGATTTTAACTTTTTAAAGTCATGAAATATTTCAAATATGAAAAAGCACCAGAAATGAAACATCACACTTGTGTCTGTACCATTGAGATGAATAGTGAACACGTTTCCGAGTTACGGTAGGGTCTGAATGTGGGCAGAAGAGCCCGTTCCATCCTTTTCTTAAAGTATTTCTTTAACAGTAGCTTTAAAAATTGTAGTAAAATATACATACTGTAAAAGTTTACCATCTTAACCATTTTTTAAGCACACAAGTCAGTGGCATTAACATCACATTGTTTTGCAACCATCACCACCATCCATCTCCAAACAGCCTCAT